ACTACCTCAAGGGCCCCGACGCTCCAACGGCTGCCAGTGCGGGTGCCAACCTCAGCGCGCCCGACGAGTACGAGCTGGTGCGCAGCATGTACGGAACATTGTTCAGCACGATGTACACTTTATTCCAGTGCGCGTCTGGAGGAATCAGTTGGGGTGTGGCGTCAGAAGCGATACGCGGGCCAGGCTGGCTGCTCGAGGCTATTGTGGTTAGTTATGTGTTCTTCATGGTCTTCGCGGTTGCGAACATTGTGAATGGCGTATGAACATGCGCTGTCGCGGGTATTCATTACACAGTGGGGTGGGGTGGCGGGTGGGGTGGGGAGGGAATGGGACTGTGTGGGGGGCGGGGAGACAGGTCGTGGGCTGAAGGAAAATGTCCGTGAATACACACTACCGACATCTTTGTGGCTGGCTGCATTCTTCACGTGGAAGGCCGATCGCGCTGGTAAGTGTTCGATTCTTGCCCCGGTCAATTACCCGACACGTGCCAACCCATCTGTAACACCGGACTTTTTTATGCGGATTGTAGCATACCAAGATGCGCAAGGTCTTACGACCGCTACATGTGGGGGGGGGCTTACGAGTTCCACGACCCACGAAAAGGCATTGAATGATGCAGTGCCCTAGAGTACGTCAGCGCAGTGGTGTCATGCGTATGGCACCGCCGCGCTGGGCCTCCCTGGGGCCCACGAGCGTGGGGACGGTCGCGCAGGTGGCAACATAAAAGCCACCAGGGATCTGTGAGGTCTAGCCTCTGTGCGCGTAGGACACCTCTACGCTGGGCCTCCCGAGAGCCCACGGGCGTGCGCCAGTTGCGGTGGTGGCAGCCTCCCCGGAGAGCTGCGAGGTCTGGTCTGGGTGAGCGTCGGGCCCCACTTCGCGAGGCTTCTCAGGAGCCCACGGAAGTGGCGCCAGTTGCGCAGGTGGCAGCACCCCCGGGGACAGCGATGTCTGGGTCTCCCAGGAGCACGCGAATGTGGCGATAGTTGCGCAGGTGGCATCACCCTAGGGAGCCGCGGGGTCTCGTCTGGTGCGCTGGGCCTTGCAGGAGCCCACGAAAGTTGCGCCAGTTGCGCAGTTCGCAGCCCCGAAGAGAGGGCGAGGCATCGATCGGGTGTGCGTAGGACTTCGCTCCGCTGCGCTTCCCAGGATCTCTTGAACGTGGCGACAGTTGGCAGTTCGCTGCCCCGTTGCCGAGCGAGGTCTTGATTGGGTGTGCTTGGGACCCGAGGAGCCCACGAAAGTTGCGCTAGTTGCGCAGTTCGCAGCCCAGCAGGAGGGCCAGGTTTTAATTGCGTGTGCGTAGGATCCCACTCCGCTGGGCCTGGCAGCAGCCTACGAAAGTTGCGCCAGTTCTGAAGTCCGTAGCCCCGCAGAGAGGGTGAGGTATCGATTGGGTGTGCGTGGGGCCCCACTCCGCTTGGCCTCCCATGAGCCCACGTAAGTGGCGACAGTTGAACAGTTCGCAACCCCGCAGGGAGGCAGGAGGAGGGGGAGGAGTAGGAGGACGATTGGAGCAAATTGCGAGATGGGAACACAGAGGAGACAAGAACCCAACGCAGGATGGTCGAGAATAAAGAGAACGCACACGAGGATATAGGAGGCGAAGAGGAGCAGGAGGAGTTGGAGGAGGAGGAGGAGGGGAAGTAGAGGAGGAGGAGGTGGCGAAGGAGGAGGAAGAAGAAAAAGAAGAAAAGAGGGAGGGGGAGGAACAAACGACGCGCGGGCAGTGCTCTATCCAAAACGAAAAACCAACGCCGTAGGGTTTAACATACAAAAGGATGCAGAAGGAGGTAGCAGGCGAATCTGATGAGGAGAAGGGGGGATTGGAGCAATGAGTGCTATATCCAAAACGAGAACTTAACACATGCTGTTTGCGGACAGCATTGCGAACAATTAAACAACTGGTTCGGCATACGCCAGCCGCTCAGCGCGGTGACGGATTTGTCGATGGTGCAATCGAGGCTTCCAAGCGCGACAGGTCATTGATGATGCAGAGACAGAAGGAAGACAACGAAAACAAAGAAAAACACGTCATTAATCTGCTGTCCATGATGGATAAGGATGGAGATTCCGTAATAACGTTTCCGGAGTTTCTGGACAGTCTGGAGCAAGAAGAAGTACGGGATTACATCAGTGCGTTGGAGGTCGATGTAAGTGATGCGAAGTTGTTCTTCCAGATGCTGGACAGAGATCATAGCGGGTCTGTTGATATCATGGAATTCACGAGTGGTATGCGAAAGTTCAGGGGGGAAGCCAAGAGCGTCGATGTGCATATGATGCTCTATGAAAGCAGGCGTCTGTTCAACCTGGTAAGTGTGCTCGTAGGTACGCTGTGTGCTGAGTCGGAAGACGAGGATATGCCTGCCGACTGAGAAACCAGTGGTATGCGAGACGTGTTCTCGTTCTCATCATCCGTTTCCGCCTTTTCTTGCCCCTTCTCCTCCTCTTCTTCCTCCTCCTCCTCCTGAGGCGTGTATTTCTTGACTGTTCGCGTATCCCCGCCAGCCCATCTGAACACAGTTCTCAGCAGAGTCGTCGAGGGAAAGCCGAGTGTCACGAGAGAAAGCAACATGAGGGACAGATGTCAAACCAAGTTGGCATTAGCCTGAGCGCAAGAAGATTCACATGGAAAAGAGGTGGAGGGAGGAGTGAGGAATGGGATACGATGGGGAAGGCGATGGACAGGGGAGAGGACAAGGAAGATGATGGGGAGTGCGAGGGAGACGATGATGATGCTGCTGCTGATGGTGACGATGGTGATTATGCCGGTGGTGGTAGTGATGGTGGTGGTGGTGATGATGATGATGATGATGATGGTGGTGGTGGTGATCATGTGGTGATGCTGATGGCGACAATGATGATGATGATGGTCATGGTGATGGTGGTTATGAGGATGATGCTGATGATGCCCATGATGCTGGTGATGGTGGTGTGGTGATGACGATGAATATGTTCATGCTGATGGTGATGACGATGACGATGATGATGATGATGGTGGTGATGATGATGATGACGATGGTGCTGCGGCTGCCGCCGATGATGATGCTGATGGTGGTTGAGATGGTAATGTTGAGGTTGTGGTTGCTGTCGTTGTTGTTGTTGTTTTTGCCGCTGTGGGTTTCATGTGGTTGATGATGAGGATGCTGTTGATGATGAAGATACTGACCGTGATGATGTTGATGATGATGCCGACGACGATGCTGCTGCTGCTGATGATGATGATGACAATGAAGATTATGATGATGATGATGATGATGATGCTGATGATGATGATGATGATGATGATGATACTGATGATGGTGCTGCCGCTGCTGCTGCTGCTGACGATGATGCTGCTGCTGGTGATGATGCTGCTGATGATGCTGATGATGATGCTGATGATGCTGATGCTGATGATGCTGATGCTGATGCTGATGCTGATGCTGATGCTGATGCTGCTGATTATGATGATGTGGATGATGATGCTGATGATGATGCTGATGTTGATGCTGATGCTGATGATGATGCTGATGATGATGATGATGATGATGCTGATGCTGCTGATGATGATGGTGATTCTGATGCTGATGATGATGCTGATGTTGATGTTGATGCTGATGCTGATGCTGATGCTGATGCTGATGCTGATGCTGCTGATGATGATGATGATGATGATGATGATGAGGATGATGATGATGATGATGATGATGATGATGATGATGATGATGATGATGATGATGATGATGATGATGATGTCGGCGACGACGATGACGACGGTGACAGTGAGGATGAGAAGGACGAGGAGGATAACATGGATAAGCAGGAGCAGGATGAGGATAAGGACGACGAGTAGAAGTAGGGCCACGACGAGGGCAATGTTTGCCAGGTCATTTCAGAAGGTTGCTGGGTACCGCTGGTTTCTGCAGGGGTTTGCAGGGTCCTTGCAGGGTATTCCAGGGTCTCCCTGCAGATTTTCGCAAGGGTCCAGTCTTCCGGCATACTGTAGGGGTTTGCAAGGTTTTCCAGGTGTCTCTGCAGGGTCTTTGCAGAGCCTTTGCAGGGTGGCTTTGCAGGGTGTTGCAGGGGGTGCGGCGATGCCCTTGTGGAGGGGGTTTGGGTAGACTCCTTCTCTGAGGGGAACGACGTTTTGTCTTGGAAGCGCTCGCACTGTGAGCCACCTGCGCCCAGAGCGCTGATCGAAGTCTTCACGGCTCGAGCGTGCCCACGGGGACCCATGCAGAGGAACAGCCCCGAGGCGAGGTGTCAAGCGAGGAGAAGTGCAGGACCAGCAGCGAAGCAAAGGGGGGACACCGATCCAACAAGAGGAGGGATCAGCACAAGCGGCCTCCGCAGACAATCCTGCTGGGCCTTCTGGGAGCACCTTCGTGATGTGGGGCCCTCTTCGGGGCCTTCGAGGACTTTTGTTGGAAACGCTCCCACAGCCCTCCTTGGACCCTTCTGGGCCTTCTCGGATTCGTGCGGGACGCCGTGGGCCACAGAGTTGAGGGGGGCGGAAATCAGGTTCCACACTCGGGGGCCTGATCTCTTGGGGCCCTCTTGGGGCTCTCGGGGTGCTCTTTGGGGCTTCTCGGGCTTCCATGGGGCTCTTCTGGGCCTCTCTTGGGCCTCTCTTGAGCCCCTCTTGGGCCATCTCGCGGCCATCTTGAAGCCTCAGAGGCCCATCGGAATCCGAAAAGACGAGGTGGGCAGGGCTACCGAACAAATGATGGTTAGTCAGCGATTTTGGCTTCTCCGGGGCATCCTCGGAAGGCTGGGTGACCCTTGCGCTATTCTGAATCCTTCTTCGGAATTCTCGGAGGCATTCTGGAGGCTGCCTGGGCCATGTCTGGCCAACTCGCGCAATCTTGGGAGAATTGAGGGGCTACCTGGAAACATCTTGGAGCCATCTAGGGCCATCTTGAACGTTCTAACGCCTCGTGGCACTTCCCGATCAAATTCCTGGGTGGGGTTCTATGGGGGTGGGTAACCCGCTCCCCAGGGAAGAAGGGGTTGCTTTGGATTATCTGAACCGCTAAACCGCCAACGCCCGGAGGCGGTTCCTCCTTGTACGGTCCGCTTTTGATTGTCCCCTCCTCCTCCTCCTCCTCCTCCTTCATTAGGTCCGCATTCTGCTGTTTTGTCCCAGGTCTTTTTCGAAGGGCCAGTGTGCACACGGTGGTCTGTCGCCGATCTCAGGGTCGCCTTCCGCGGCGATGGCAGCTACAACTTGCACCCCTGCCCGTACCTGTATTTTGTACGCGTTCCTGCCAGAGGCAGAGAACAGTGGGGAACTTTCTATCGTGCTAGCGTTCTAGACGGCACGGGGCCCACGAGGGGCCAGACAGATTCACGCTCTCCATGCGCCGGAGTCCGGGGCCACTTTTGTTCCCCGCCACCAGCGTCTGGGCCCGTGCTCTCGTTTCCCCTTTGTCTCGCTCTCGTGCCCCCTCTTCCCCGCTCTCCTTCTCTCTGCCCTGTGATGCCTTTTAGTTGACGCTTGAGCCCCAGACTTGTGGCGACTCGACAAAGTCACGCCGGAAGTATCTTGCAGTGTGGCGTGCGCTGCGATCGTTTCTGGGCCCCAGGATAGTAAGACAACGGTGCGAGATGGAGAGCCGTCCCTGGGGGAAGGTGTCCAAGGGCCCTGGGCCCCACGGATTGAAGAAGCCACGGCGTCAGAGGTCTTGGGACGTGGACGACCTGGGAGAGAGCTGGATGCACATTCGGCCCCTTAGCTTTCCAGCGCTCCGCCCTTGTAAGGCTGGGAGAGCCGGCTATCTGCATCTGCTTTTCAGGACCAGTCCCCCTGTATGTTTTAGGGCCCCCCCAAGCAGTGTGGCCACAAATGTCCGGATATCCTCGACGACCCAAATACCTCACTGGACGTCCTGTCACTGGACGGTTTTAGGACCCTGGAGGCTTGTCGATTTTTCAACATGCACAGCAGCTTTTCCAATTCCTGCCGTGCAGGCATTGTTCGCGGCTGCTCGAGTCGGTTTTCTTTCTTGTGTTCCTTTGCTGCCCGTCGTGTGGCCGCGGCCCTTCTTTGAAGGATGGTTCCGCTACGCCTAAATGTTTCTCCGTGCGCGCGCGCGGCGAAGTCACACAACTTACCCTTCATATTTACGACGGAAAAACTAACATCTCCATCTTCACATATTTTCTCTTAATTCGATCGCTTCGCTTATTCCGCCGGCCCATGTTGCATGATCGCTACTGCTTCGCCGTGGGCCCAGGGCCATTGTGGCGCCGCCGAGGAGGAGGAAGATGAGGATGGGGAAGGGGAGGGGAGGAGGAGGAGAGGATGAGAAGGAGAGGAGGAGGAGGATGACGATAAGTAGGAGGAGGAGGAGGAGGGGGAGGAGGAGGAGGAGGAGGAGGAGGAGGAGGAGGAGGAGGAGGAGGAGGAGGAGCAAACCTCGCTCGAGCATTGCACAACAGGTGTGCGTGTGTGCGCCCGTTCGTGAACCCTGCAGATTTTGGGCCGTATGTCCAGTAATGGCGGCGGCTATCCTGTTGGGTGTGCTTGTGCGTCTTGTGGGAGTAAGCGGAATCCCGAACACTACAAGTGGTGTTGCCACTGCGGATCTGAACTTCCTCGCCTTCGCCCACTCCGTGCACCCCCCCTTCGTGGTGTCTGGGATCGTGGAGTGGGAGGTGTTCACCCAGGAGGCAAAGGTGGAGGGAAAGACGTGTACAAAGGTAAAGGAAAAGGGAAAGGAGGCAAAGGAGGGCTGGCGGGGCGTGGAGTCGGCGGGGGAGGAGATGATGCTCGTCGTCGTCAGCCTGCCAATCCCCATGACGAGCTACACCGTGTGTACCAAATGTCCCGCAGCAAAACGTCTCCTTTCCCGCCCAGTGTCGTGCAAGCTCTTGGGACAGCCTGGTCCTCCCATCAGCAGGACAAGAAAGCCCAGGAGCCAGCAAGCAAACAGCTACAGAAGCACGAACAGGACATCAAACAACGGGAAGGCCGCCTCAAAAAACTCCAAGATGAGCACCAGGACATTCTGGAGCGAATTGAGGACCTTCAAGAGAAATGCGATGCCATTGAGGCCCAGATCTATAATGCTGAATTTGATTTGGAAGAGGCACGCAACGCAGCACAGATGGTGGGTACTGGGACCGCAGGACCCGCGCAGGACCTCACGCCAGTGCGCAACCTTCTCGCCTCGCTCGCTGCCCTTGTCCCCAACATCCCGAATGAGGAGGCCCGCCGCCACGTGCAGGCCCAATTGGATGAGGTCAAGCCGCTGGTGGAACCTCCCCCGCCCGCTGTTGATGCCGCCGATGTTCCAGTGTCTCGCACATGCCGTGGCGACAGAGCAGCAGCAGGAGAAGGAGGAGGAGGAGAAGCAGGAGGACCAGCTGACATGGAAGGAATTGAGAGTGAGGACTTGTATGAGGCGTTTCGGAGTGCAGGGGTCAATGTTGAGAAGCGTGCCCTGCTCACAGCTTTTCGTGCCTTTCAAGTCAAGAGAGCAAAGCGAGAATGCCACTTTCAGCGTCCAGCAGATGACATGTCAGACTCAGATGAAGACCCCTGTGGAACCACCTGGTCCCCGCCACCTCCAGGGTCAATGTCCGCGCCAGGGACGACGTCGCACTAAATATCTCAGGGATATGTGCATTGTCACATACAATGGGAACTGCTGGGCCACAGCAGACGGATTCATCCATGAGACATCGGCATCGGTTGTACTTATTCAGGAGCACAAACTAGGTGCAGATCGTCAGTCAGAAGTCAGTCGACGGATGGCGGGTACTGGTTGGAAATGTTTCTGGGGCCAGGCCAGTATATCCGACAAAGGGCAGTACACAGGTGGCACATGTATAGCAGCACGCAGTTATTTAGATGTTTGGTCTGGGCCGTCTGGGGCTTCAGTCATCACTCGGCATCTTGCACACTGCTATCTGCGCACGGCACAACTAGGCATCATCGGTCTGTACTCTATCTACATGCAGGACAGCATCAAGATTGCTGGACCAAACATCCATGTATTTCGAACTCTAGGGCAGCATGCACTAGAAGCTGGGGTTCCTTTCGTTGTAGGAGGAGACTGGAACATGACCACCGCGGAAGTTCGGGAAGGACTTCAGACAAATATTTTGGAATGCTGTTTCAGGTTTGATCCCTCGGTGCCGTCGCATATTTTTGATGGCGGGCAGGGCAGTTCAAATATCGACTTCTTCCTCATTAGTCGGCCTCTGGAGGCAATTGCTAGTGATGCCCAAGTGGAACTTCAGAATCCAGTTGTTCCAGGACCCCATCGACCTGTTGGGTTTAACCTTCGCAGAGTAGCTCGGGACATTGTAGTGCAAATTCGGACACGCCATGCCACGTTTCCTACCGTCCCTGGCATCGGACCCTCGCCGGCACCGCCTGACTATGAAGCCCTCATTGCTAAGATTGACCAGTACATTGCAGACCACTCGGAGGATGGGATCACCAACAATGTTCTGGGTGACAAGAGGCTGGCAGGTCAGGCTTTCCTGGACGAGGTTTATCAGGACTGGGTAGATAAAACATGGTGTGAGCTTCAGCAGGTCACACACGCCGACCCCAACCCCAAGTTGCTACGTGCTGGGGCTCCTATTCAGGTCACGGAGAGGCCCCTCAGGCTAAGTCTGGCCACAGAGCAGAGCCAGCGCAAGCTCCCAGGAAACGCCCTCCATTGGATGAGATCCAGGCTCCAGGAGTTACGACATCTGCGAAATCAGGTCCTGACAGGAGCCGATGACAGAGTTCGGCAGTACTACAACTATCTCCTTCAACGTACCAGTCGTATTCGAGATAGAGGTGGACCCCTCCGTAAGCATCTTGGCTGTGAAGGAGCTGGGTGGCAGTTCCTCCTCAACACTCTCATCGACAAACTCTACGGAGATATCAGTACGCCGCATGGCAATGCACGTGGACAACATATGACGTCAACTTCGGTGAGATCAGAGGAGGGAGCTGTTGAGAATCTTAGTGCGGCCACTGTTGGACTGGATGAATCAAGGATTCGGATACCACATGCGCTTGATGATGATGATCATGATCCCTTTGCAGACCTGGAGGCCGACCTTCAAGGACGGGATCGGGTACCAGGGAACTCTAATATTAGATCCAAGCCTGAGATGCTCCCCACCTCGTCGCCCACCCCCCATGCTGGCGATCTGAACGCTAGGACCTGTGTGACCAGGGCCGAGACCAGGTTGGAGACTCCCGTCCACTGGTCGGCTGGAGGGACCATGGCCAGGCCAGGACACAGGAATGCCAATCTTCCAATCGAGAGCCAAGCGGAACCTTCACCTGCTACCTCTATTACCTTGGACAATCAGCTCTGTGGTTGGATTGCACTACTGGAGGTCGCAGAGAGACAGCAGGCGGCACTTTCTCGCAGGCAGAAGTCACGTGATTGGACTGAGTGGTGCCGTAATGCCTTTGACTCAGGTGGAGGTGGTGCCGCACATGCATTCGCGCGAATCAAACCGACCTACGAGGAGGAGGTCTACGTACGCAAGGACGGCACTGTGACTGCTTCCCTTGATGGCATATTGGAGCAACAGATGGTGCAGTGGCAACAGGCGTGGCAAGCGGGAACAGTGCAGGATCAGTTTGTAGAAGCCCCTGCTGTGATTCCGCCTCGCTGCTCGCCAGAGTTACTTAAGCGGATTTCTCGACGATTTAAAACGCATGCTATTGCAGTTGACGGCGTTCACCCGAAGCACTTCTCATTACTCAGTGACCAGTGTCTTTCTGCCCTCACAGGGATCTTCTCGATCATGAATATGATTTCGAATGCGCCCAGCAACTTGCAGCAGGTCATTATGCAGATGTTTCGCAAACCAGTGACAGGCAGACGACCCATTTGATTCTTCACCAGTACAGTGCGCCTACACGGAAAGATCATGTCGTGGCAAGCTCGGGAATGGGAACGCGGAGCTGTTGACCATCCAGTATTCAGCATGGCGCCTGGACGAGGACCTCTAGACGCAGTCTGGAGACAGGCCGCACGTGGAGAAGCCCTTGCGATAAATGGATATCACATATTATCAGTGCTGTGGGATTTGAAGCAGTTCTATGAGCACATGTCGCATCGCAGACTGTGGGAGGTTGCCTTTGAGATCAACTACCCCATCTCGGTCTTGCAGTACAGCCTCAATTCCTACAAGTGGCCGAGGAGAATTGCGTTGGACGGACTCATATCCCAGCCACTATATCCCCGTCGTGGGATAATTGCGGGAACGGGCACTGCCACATACGAAGCGAAGATGTTCGTTTTCCCTGCGGCCAATGAGTGGATCAACCAGGCTACGGAGCAGGCCCTCCCACATGTAGGGCTTGCCACGCTTACAGTCCATATCGATGATCTGTGTATTAATGTGGCAGCCCGAGGATTCCATGACTGTGTGAATGGAATGTACAATCGAGCATCTCACCTGGCACAACTTGTTAACGATCTGCTGGGAGTACCCCTCGCAGAAAAGAAACTATGCTTCACTGGGACGTCCAAGCCATTGATGGATGCATGCAGGGCGGCCTTAGGACCCTTGGCTGGACAACCCGAGGTTGCGGTCAAGAATCTTGGTGTAGACTTCTCTCTCGGACGGCACCGACACCAAGCAGGTCATGGCAAAGTTCGGAGAAGAAGGTTTGTGTTGATCAAGACACGTTTGAAAAAAAACAAAACAAAAAAAAAACTGACTGCGATGAAAGGTTCTGGGAAACAGAAAGGTCGGATATTTCTTGCTGGGGTCCAAGCATCAGCAACATATGGAGGATAAGTTCTTGGCCATACCCCTGGGGAAATTAAGATACTCAGACGTGCTGGTGCTAAGGCCCTTGGGTTTCTTGGAGGTGCGCTCGACATTGGATGGGCCCTCCACGCGGACCAGGGCCCCCTGAACAAGGCAGCTGATACTCTCAAGAGATACGCTAAAGAATGGTGGCAGGCCTCTGATGGCGACCTGCTGCAAGGAGATGGCCTCACTGCGCGTGAACTGGTCAATGCATTCTCGGCCACCCAACAGCATTTATTGCAGTTGCCCCCTGGGGCTTCATGGCTCAGAAAGGTGTCTGGGCCATTATCGGATATGCACCTGTGGATGCGAGAAGCAGGCTGGGAGGCACTCAACGCGAACGTCTTCGCGGGGCTGAATGGGGAACATCATCATCTGACGTCGACGCCGCCTGCCCAGATTGTCAAAGCT